CTGATTCACTGAACGCCAGTGTCAGTGTATGTACTGATTCACTGAACACCAGTGTCAGTGTATGTACTGATTCACTGAACACCAGTGTCAGTGTCATCAGTGTACCGGTGAACGCCAGTGTGACTTTATCGGTGATCAGTATACTGAAACTGCACATCCCTATCTTAAGCTCAGAAAAAAATGACAATTCTGAATATCTTTCCTCAAACTCTCGACTAAAACAATAGCAACATCATTAATTTATTTACATAATCAAAAATCCTTCAATTGCTTGTAATTTATTTGTAGAAAACATTCTCATATGATTTTTAAGCATAGAAGATATGAAACAGATTTTTAAAAGTAAAGACACTTGATATCGAATACCATTAAAGATTCCAAAACAATAAAGAAGAGAAGCAAACTAAACTATATAAAGAATGAGATGAAATTTTTTCAAATAGTTTGCTACATTTACGAAACATATTGTTCCTTTTTTGAAAGAAAAGACTCACAATCAAATAAGACTTTTTGAAAAAATAGGAGCTATGTAAGCTTTAACTTTTTCAAAGATGAAAATTTTGATGAAAAATGACAGACTAAAGGATGCCTAAGTTTCAGCGTTAATGGACTCTTGAAATGAAATGATTTTTTCCTTTTACGATTGTCTCTAAAGTATTAGTTCCAGAGTAATCTAGATAGGTTTTGATTTTAACGCTGGATTACTTCTACTTTCAGATGATTTATAATTATTATTCTCTTTCTGTCCATTATTTCAATCGACTTTGCTTTATTTCTGATTAAATTAAATTGTTACTAATTCATGAATATTTTTGTATTAATTTGTTTGCAACTGAAAGTTTTCGTCCTTCCATTTACTTTATGCTAGATAATAAAATACACCTTTTTGTTTTGTAAACTTATGTGTGTGAATTAAATGGATTTTTGTAATATTTTTTTTTCTTTTTACAATGTTTTTTAATCAAAGTTAGAAATATTTTAAACATTCAGATAAACGTTTTTATGTATTAAATAAAGATTATAGAATAAGATATTAGATCAAAATGTTAAAAATCCTGAATACTTTTCTCCAGCATATAAGTCTCTGTAAATAAGTTCAGTAGAAATGAGCTTAAACGACAAGGTATTAGATTGAAGATCTTAAATATCTATGGTGAAATATGTCTTTCAATAAATATGAATCGGCAGAAAAAAAAATATATTCAATTAGATATTAATCAATAGAATATGAAGTGTTCTTTCAACATAAGACTTCATACAAATATAAGATGTCTACGAACTAAAATAATGCATTCATAAACTCTTTGCGTGTTTGAGAAAGGTTCGTAACAAAACTCGCTTATAGTGTGTTTTTCTCTATAATGTTGTTAAGTTCCGTAACAAAAACAACATTTACAGATAGAAATCAACAAGCTCTATTAAATACACACATTTTGAGTATAGTTTGATTTTATAATATTTGTATTTCGTTGTCTGGAAATACTGTGTTACGGAATTTCACTAGTATTCGAGAACGGCAATGTTTTAAATTACTTAACATTTCATGTTGCTCTGCTTCATATATAAACATATATTTGGAAAAATTTAGAATTGTCACCGAATGCTGTACACAATCGAGTATTTAGATTACCAATGCAGAACTTATATTTGTATGTCGCTTCAACTGATAGTAAAATATTACATAATCAATTCCTTCAGAAAAACACTCCATCTTTTTGAATTTCGTACTGTTCAGTACTTTTTCAATGACTTAGCTGTAGTTAAAGAAAAATGAACAAAATTATTACTAATAATAGAATTCGATAATCTAAATCTATAATAAAAATTTTCAAAGTGTACGCATTTATCATAGTGAGAATACGCATGTTACGATAGAAAAAAAAACATTCGGTAACGTTTGGTCAAGCCGAAATGATGATTCTTGCTATGATGGACGAAACAATGAGTCAATATCTCTGATCAACATAAATATCTATAGTAAAAGTGCCCTCTGTGAACATTCCTCCTTTATAAAAATTTCGTGATTTTGAACGTGAACAAATTCAGAATGGTTTCAGTTGCATGTATTAACCTTGTCAATGTGATCATGAATAGAATGTGCTACTTGAATACATCAAACGACTGAAGCTGTGAATATGATAGTCAAGAAGTTTAGTTAGCTCTATGATTTAGGTGTCGAAAACTAATACTAATGAGGTTTAGTACTTTTATTTCAAAAATATCGAAAAACAAATATTTATGTATTGTAAATCAGATTAAAGTTATGCATGCTAACTACTACATATAATAGATTTCTCTCAATAATACGCAGCCAAAAGTACGAAATTTTCAAGCGTTTATGTTTTTATACAGATCTTGTAAGAGTTTTTTGTATTTTTTCTCGACAGCTTTTCTTCGTATTTTAAATGTTGGCGTTAAGAGATCGTTCTCCATGGTAAATGGTTCACTGAGAATAGCCATTACTTTGACCTGCTCATGTGGCATCAACTGTTGCCTTTGACCCAACTGTATCATGTCGTAGAATACAGCTTGCCAAAGTTTTGATTTTGCCTCAAATAAAATAGATACTGGGCCACTATTGTGCGTTTCATCCGACCATTTTTTAACGCTGTCTTCATCGAGAACAACAAGAGCGACAATAAAGTTTTGCATCGAATCACCATGAACGTAGATTTGGAAGATAAATCGACTATGCATATAGATGTTCTCTATCTTTTCGGGCGCTACATATTTGCCATTGCTTAACTAGAAAGAGAATACTTAAATAAGCTTGACATGCACAAAATAGACAAGAGAAAATGTTTAGAAGATGAAAAGAATTTTAATCACTTTTTACTTGGCATGCATTTGTCAACATTCGAATGGAACACATACTAAAGGAATCAATTAAATGATTAGTATTTATATAAGAAACATTTTAGGGCAATTATTTTGAGATCGAAATGTTAAACACGTTAGAACTGCTTCAATCGTACATGAAGATCCTTCATATAGTGATTACCATTTTTGACAAGCTCCAAGGAGCCAAGTATGGAAATGTCTATCAAGTTCTTTAGCATTAATGAATTATGTTCATTGTGTCTGTACAGTAAAATTCTGGAATGTGGGAAGAACGATTTACTTTTCTAACTATATACTTTAACATTCATTACTAATACTGTTTGTCATAATTATCACTCATTTTACAATATGATTTGCTAAACTTGATCATCGTGATACATTTTGAATAACTTATCACGATATGACTACCCTCGGGACGACGTTTGAAATTGTTGCGAGCGTTTGAAAATTCTTGGAAAGTGATTGCTGCAAAAACCAACCATTTAACGAAAAATATGACATAATGAACTCCGAATACTCTCCCTCTCTATACTATTGTGTTGTTCTGAAAATCTTCCTTCCACTACGTTCACTCTGTTAGTACTGGGCCTTATAAATTACTCGAGTAATTTATATATAATTGAAGAATTTTTATAAATTGGATTTCGATCAACAAGAAAAACATACAGTCATTCATGAGAATGTGTCTTTTACAGAGACATTTGTATCCACAATAAATTACTAATGGAGGAACCTCCTACTTTAACCACTGCAGAGATTCTGGCTTATTCACCATGAAGGTATTTTCAATATCTTTCTCAGAGCAATATATTATCAAAAAAGATACATATGTACGAAACTATAGTAGAAAAATTACTGTAAATATCTTGTATTTATATGATTTCTCTATCGTCTTACTTAGTATATCACAATTCAAGATCTGAAACAAATGAACTAAAAGTGTTATCGGAAATAGAATTAAAGTGAATGAGATCTATTGTTAGAATTTCAGCTGTTGACATCTCAGTGTTCATGGAATAGTGAATCTGATTTGTTAAAAAAACGTGTTTCTTCGCCATATTTGATAAAGGCAATCACTCACTTTAAATACAGAATTTTTTCGATCAATTATTTTCATGGTTCCATTCTTTGTCCATTGGCCTATATCACCTGTATGTAACCAACCTTCATTATCAATAGTTTCGTGTGTTTTCACTTCATCATACAAATAGCCTTTAAATACGGCTTGACTACGAATGCATATCTCACCGACACGATCCTTTGCATAATAATCTTTTTCTGGCACATCGATGAATTTAATATGATTAACTGGTGTTGGAATACCTGTTTCGCCCGAACGGATATCATCCGAAATTTGCCAACATCCAGCTATGCATTCCGTTTGACCATATCCTTCAACGAATTGACATGAAAATACTGATCGACTAAAGTTGGCTACTTCAGCCGAAAGAGGTGCACTTGATGATATAACAAGTTGAACTCGATTACCAAATAAATGACGAATTTTACTAAATACAATTTTATCCCATAGAGTGTTTTGAGAAAAGTCATCGCGTTCCATTCGACTAATTTTAGTTTTTATAGCCCATGTCATAATATTCTGTGCTAGTAAGGGTGTTAGGTGGGTGTGGGGTGCGGGTGTGGGTGGGGTGTGGGGTGTGGGTGTGGGTGGATGTAGGTATTCCTCTGCTCTCAATCTACACCCACACCCACACACCCACCAACACCCACACCCACACCCCACCCACACCCTATCAGTGGCTGCTCCTGCAACATTATTTACCTTTTTTTTAAGAAGTAAACGGTAGGATCCTCGATCGATTTACTGACCAAGTCGAAACTACTATGGAGTGGAAAAAGAATGAGAATGAACTTTGCCCGTTTTGCTTTTATCTTCCTAAAATAAACTGTCGTATATACAAACTGCAGTATGGTGGAACAAACAGCTTCATGGTTAGATGCTGTCCAATTTAGCTTTACCCTGCTAACGCCATTAATGTTTAGGTATACGGTCGTTGTTTTATTCTCTTCATCGCCTTCTTTTTTTTCTGCACATGTTTGTTCTAATATAACGATAAAAGATCACGTGGTTTTAACATTCTTGGTCTACTGATAATATCATTATTTGTCCTTAAAACAAGCTTAATAAAAAATGGTTTGGTCTTATTTACCGTTGTTTTTTTCAATATTTTTTTTTCTCATTTCTCTTTATATAAATTCACTTGTTCAAGTTTGGGCTGATCGAAATGCTCCATATTGGATACCAACATTACCTGATATTGGTCATCGTCTATTACCTTAGGAGTCATTCAACAAGAACATTACGCAGCAGGTGAAAAAAATAGATTAGCCACAATCGGTCGGGCTACGACAGAAGATAGAAAAAAGTCAAACATAGACGGATGTTTGGATGCTTTCTATTAATTTTTTTCCTCGAATATTCTCGAACTTATAAGGCGTAGTTAGTTTCAACAGCGTTAGTCAACTATTCCATATATGTATTGACAACGAGTTATTCGTTATTCAGATCCTATCAGATACCTGCGAAATAACTTTCGAATCCGACAGAATTTACTGAAACAATTTAACAACGTTTTTTTACTGCATGTCAGCTGCTCCAAAGCATCGAAACTCAGTAGAAAGGATTCTAACAAAATCTGATTGAAATTATGAGAGTTTGGAAGAATCAAACAGAATGTGTTTGATCTGGATGCATATTTCATTTCTTCCTTTCATAGGATTAAATAATGAAGTATGTTTCAATAGAAAAAAAATACATTGTAGTAGAATAGCTAAGCTCTATTCCAAGAAATTTGTAACATCCGACGTCCTTTATTCACGATACCTTATTGGACTTATTTTTCAATAAATAATTATTATCTTTTAGTAGCATTTCTCTTAGTTCTTATTCGTTATATCTTTCAACGCGATACTCGTTTAATTGTTTTTCGTCGATGGCTTTTTCTTCAAGCTGTTATGTTTATTATGAGAAGCATATCAATTTATATTACATCACTGAGTGTTCCATTGCCTGGTTGTAATACAACAGCTATAGGCTCACCTCCTATAGAAGCATTTTATATTATGTTTCTAATACATACAACATGCGGTGATGTTCTTTTTTCTGGACATACAGTTACATGTAAATGAATTAAGGATTTTCGAAAATAAACTTCGATTTGTTTTCATACTTTTAGTAACATTATGTGCTCTTGCTTGGACAACTTATTCCAAAGGTGAAGAACATTATCCAATACGTTGGTTATGGAATCAATTAAAAAGTAGCAAACAAGAAATTATTCCAGGTAGACCTGGTTGGCTTTATCCACAGTTGGATTCCACAGGTGATCCATTATCATTTTATTTAACAACATATCTTGTATGGATATTCACAATCATTGGTTATCTATTGATTATTGCTACACGATTTCATTATACAGTTGATGTTTTTCTTGGTTTTCTTCTTTCATATTTATTATGGCAAACATATCATTATTATATAAAAACTTTAGCAGAAAGACGAAGTATTATAATAACTAAATTTTTTCTTTGGTTTGAAGGATATGGACGACCACCAGCTAATGCAACTGTTAGCTTACTTACTGGACCAGCTTCGATGAATGAAGAACAACCGGAACATATTGAAACACATAATGATGTTGTGAATTCGGGTGATGCTAATTATATTTAGAAATTTTATTTTATATTTGTTTTGCATATTTTAGTAACAAACCAAATATGAGATTCGAATCGCATTTCTGTTTTTTTTTTAAGATATATATTGTAAAGATTTTCTAATCCCGTACAATGTTATATGTTGAAAATGTTATCTATGTATACTTTTATATTGTCAATAAAGAATAGATTTCGATAAAAGAAAACGGATTCTAACCATCAAACAATTATTGCAGTATTAACAGAACTTGGTATTGATAATGATAGGCACTACAAAGGAAGGAAAATGTTCTAATCTTCATATCAAATTACAAAACGATTGGAAACTATGCTTTGAATTTAAACCAATAAGAAAACTAATTATTGAGTAAATGGAAAGATGTCCTTTTTTAACTTTAACAAGCAATGATTTGAATATGTTTATATTTTTATCATAATACAAAACAAATATTCGAGACACCCTTCTACATCTATGAATTTTTGCATAGAAAATATTCTATTTAATGTTGAAATCTTTTTCAACCGACAGCACAATTTATAGTATCTGTGTATGCTGAATATTATCAACAAATGGAATATAAAGTTTTTAATGAATTCTCTGTAAACCAGCACCCTCTACGCGTCTCTCTAATCGATTGATTATTAAATATATCCAATATAATTCTTATGATCAATAAAAAATTTACAATGTTCGTAAATAAATTCAACATCTCGTTATTTTCAAGTTAATATTTCTGCTATTATGAAAAAATGTAAATTCAATTACGATATAGTTCCCTCATTTCGTTCTAATGAAAAGTGATGTCAGGCTATTATTGCGAAGTCTTAAATATATTTTAAATAATATGGCTCACAAATCAAAAATGCGACTTTCAAAAAATTTTACATCATGAGGTACTGTACAATAATTGATGGAATAAGATAAAACTCAAACTAATGTTAACATTTTCAATAATCATATATGGGTAGTATTTGTATTATTACTTTTATCAGTGATCTTATCTGACATATGGCGTACATATATTTTTATTATTGTTATGTCAGTAAATATCTGGCTTTTTATGTTGAATAAATTTGGTTCATTTTAGATTTTGAATGTCAATTCAATGAATGTAAACAAATTCAATTACTATTATCAATTATCTACTGTTAATAAACTCAAAAAGCCAACATTTATTGAAGCTTAAATTTTATGTTGAAAAATTGTTATCATCTTACAGAATAAATATTTTTTGAATGTTGGATTCGAATGAAACAAACAAGAAGCTAGAAATAATTTTTTTTTATCTATCTCAAAAATAATCAAGAAATCTGTTTAAGATAAACTTACTAGTAAAGTTTGACCTATAAACTATGATGAAACTTTGACAATGCAAAACTATTTCGGAAGAAAAATTTTATGATACAGTGTTCAAAAATAATAGGATCTTCTACCAATTTTGTTAGAAAATATTTCTGTCACTTTGAAAAGTTCATATCAGTTATTTCTTAAAACTGATAAGATTTTTTTCGAGAACATCTATAGAAAATTCTAGCATTTGGGATACTCTGGTCTTTGTTAAATATTATTTTCTCTGAGCATCTGTACTTGAAATAATTTTGAGTATTGAATGGAAAAGCTTTAGATCATTTTCGTCTATGATCAAAGAGAAATGATAGAATTTTGATAAAACTCAATTTCGTGAAAAATTATTACAAGATGTATATGCTAATATCCTAATTGTGAAATTCCGTAGCCTTATAGAACATATAGTTGATATAGTTATTATTTGAAAGCAATGCTGAAGTTACAAATTTATTCTAGTCAACCATTACACTAGTAGCAAATTGATATATAAACTAATGAGGAAGCCTTCCGACTGATTAATCATTTCTAAGTTCTAACTATGTGCACTATGTAAACCCTAATGGGTTGTGAATACTCCAAAAAGAATTCATGTGCATAGTTTATTGCTGCCTATATATTGCGTTTTTGAGGTCATCTTAAAAACAATGCCGTAATTTCTCCTTTCAGAACACTAAGAAAACTATTTTTCGAATTTCAACTTGAAACTTTGCATAGAAAAAAAGTCTTAATGAGAATAGTTTATTGTACGAGCTTCAAATATTTTCGTTGTTCTTATCGCTAGATACAATCATGTTAAAAGGAAGTTTTTCGCCTCGTTCATATGCACCTGCAGATTCAATTGTTTTTATTCCAGGACAGGAACAGATCAAATAGCCTGATATTTTCAAGATTAACTACTCTTGTTAAGACTTGTTTCTATGCAAAGTTTTAAATCGAAATTCAAAAATCAGTTTTCTCGGTGTTCTTAAAGGAAGGATCACGACATTTTATTGAAAAATATTATAAAAATGCAATATGCTGGCAGCAATAAGCTATAAACTCAAATTATTATCCGGGTGTACATAATCTATTAGAAGCTACATGATGTGCATGCTTCTAACTCGAAAACGATTAATCAATTAGAGAATTTCTTCGTAAGATATCTCTAATCATTGATCTGTACATAACTTTGAAATTTTATTCAAATTTTTAATCATATCTATAATTTTCTACATACGAAAATAATATTAAGATCAAAAGTTCATATATCATGATGCATAAGTCAAAAAAAATTTAACATGTGTTTCAAAACAATCATATAATTTCAGTAATTCTAATATCTTTATTATGAAATGAACATGAAAAATATTCATATATTAAGCTAGATCAGTTCCTTCTTGTTGATCACATACTAGTGACTTTTTGACAATAATACTTTGTTCTATTTCAGATAAAGAAATTATTTTGTCAGTTATAATGAGACGATCAATTTTTGAATTATTTCCCGATGAGTTAATACTTGATATATTTAAATATTTTGATATACGTGATCTATATCAATCATTTTATGGATTAAATTCTCGATTAAATGC